GGGGGGGGGGGAGTGGGGGCTTGCTTTTATTTCCTTCTGGTTTTTGTGTTTTTTTAAGGCTTGATTTAACTCAACACCATTTGTCTTTTATAAATCATGCTATCACACAAGGGACACTAGAGATGGAACTCCACATTTTTAATTTATGATATTTTTTTTGTAAAGCTGTGTAAAGAAAAATGAAGTGGTGTCATTTACATACAAGTCTGTATGGGACAGAATAGAAGTGCCAGTTAGTTTTTCGTAGAAGAATTATGGCCATTTAATTAAGGGTCGGCTCATAGAGGTTGCTTATCCAGTGGTGACTTGCTAATATGATGCATTTTTAATGTTCTAATTAAATAGATATCACTCCCTAGAAAGCTGATATTTTTGGATGATGAGGGTGGGATGAGGGGTGGGATTAGTAACCTCTGTCTTTAATTTCAGGCTAAATAATTGTGTAAATAATGCAACAAGAAAAGTTGGTGAAAGGGAAGGGAAGGTAAGGATGCAAATAACAAACACATTTCCTCTTGAACTGAAAATCCAGTGCCTCTAGATAGAATGCTAAAACTGCAGAATTAAATGAGCGTGGCTCTCTCTTTAGCTTATCCATCAGAATCTTTCCTAAACGAGTGGCCTTCTTGAAGTTTAGTGTCACCCAAGCTGTGCATAAAATGCCATCTGGATTTTGCGTAGGCATCCAATGACACCGACTGCGGCCATCACACGTGGGGTGTTTTCAGCATAGCCCCTCTCCCCTTGAACTATTTGTTTTTGTGGGGCAGGATGAGAACAGGCTCGGCTGCGGTTCTGCATCCTCACAATCTAAAAGCACACGTCTCCGTCAGCCTCCCACTAGGATTGTTCCTGTATCAGTCGACCCTCTCAATTTGTATCATAATATATTAAGCAACAGGTAACTGCTTTTGAATAGTAAATGAAAACACGAGTTTTGGGGGTGGGTGGTGGGGCTGTTAGGAAGATTTCAAATCAAAACCATAGCTTCTGTTTTACAAAAATTTTGCTATCATTATCTGGGAAGTGTTCTTAAAAACATTAGTCAAAGAGGCAGCAAAGCTCTGAAGATGCATTACCTGATATTTTTTCTTTGCTGTTGTGTTTTGTATGTAGTTATAAATACTGTAGATTTTTTGTGATTTTTTGCCAAAGTTGTTGTTCTATTTATACATTTTAATGTCTTAAGACAGTTTTTCAATATCACAAAAAAAGAATTTTACTGCATATTTTGCAAAAAGAGCTCACTACCTTTAGCTTGCACATACTTGCAAAATTAATTAAATAAAAAAAAAGCTTTTTGTTTCTGTTTTTTGTTTGTTTGTTTTAAGGGGGATTTTGTAAAATATCCATATAAATAATGTATTTATCTCTGGAATTTGTACATTGCTTTTATCCCCTACCAAGTTTATTTTATTGTGTATGTTTGCTATGTGAAAAGTGCTGATTTGTTTGGTCATTCACAGTTGTATTAGCTGTTTAAATGTGATTTTAAAACATTTCATTTATAGGGTTTTTTTAGTATTGTTTAAAACCATGCTTCCATTTTTTTTTAATTTCCACCCAAAAGCCATTGTCTATTTTTGTATTATTTGTAAGTTAAGAAGTTTTTTCCAATATATGGCAAAAAGTAGCATACTATTCTTGTAGCATTTAGTTATGTAGATTTAAAAAAAAAATGTATCCTTTGCTTTTGAGGCTTAACAAAAACTAATGCTGTTTTACTCTATTAATATGCATGGGATTTCTCCTCTTTGGAGTGACGCATTTTTGTGCATTAAATATGGGGAGAAACTTCATAGAACTCAATGAAAATACTTTCTTTCTTAAGTCTGCTTGTATATTTCTCTGTCTTTCACATAAATATAAACCAGCAGATTGGATGCCTTAACAATGCAAATCATATTCATTTCACTTGTACATTGTACTGTGCACCAGAACTGTCAATCATCACTAACATTCTAAGAAAAAAAAAAAAGGAATTGAAAAGCACAAAAGAACTGTTTTGTTACCTTAAAACAATATAACTTTTTTCTAGTTGAGCAAGAAATCATTTACAACGATGCTGCAACTGTGCATGCTTCCTGTATGAATTTTGCAATGGTTTTCACTAGAATGTCACAGTGTGATCTTTGGGGGGAAGGGAAGAAAACAGGATTTTTTTTTTTTCATGGTGAGAAAATAAAAGAAGAGAAAACTGGAAAATGTGAGAGACATCAGTTTATTGCTTCTCTGTATTCCAAGCAATTATTCTAATTCACATAGTAAGCAACAGCACGACAATGTAATCAAATTTAAAGCCATATTTTGTCCAGTGACACCATCAATTATTCTTGTAGAGCTCCACTCAAAGTCATAGCAGTTTTGACACCAGTGTTAGCCATCGATGTTTGTAGTCTTCTATGCCAGTGTCCAAAGATCCTTTGACAATGTGCATAATTTTGTTTTGTTGCAGCTATTTACAGTGATCTGATGAATGGGAATTTATCAAAATCTCCCCCGCAACATACTTATCTTTTACAAAGTAAAAGATGCAGCTGTTTACAGAATATGGCTTTAAGTGGAAACATTCAGATTTCAGTTTTAACAAGGTGAAGCTTCACAATGACTGGATTGCATAAAGTATGCCTATTTCCTCACAGTTGTACTAGAATGCAGCTAAAATGAAGTCATCTCTGAAACTACTAACCTTTCACCTTCTTATCTAAATCTTTTTGAATAGACACACACACTGTACAGTTCTATTGTTAGAGAAACTAACTACTGTAGAGATTGTTATAATTTTTTTGCAGAAATTCAAGCTGTAAAAACTTTTCAACTTTCACAATATTTAATTAAAGTTACTTCCTGTCTGTGAATACAGCTCCTAGTTGCGTTTTTATTCTTCTGCTTCTGCTAGCTAGTAGATGAGAAAAAAATAAAATACAGAAGCCAGAGACTACTGAATTGTCTTTCTGAAATTAAGGAGAAGCAGATATTCATGGAATTACACAGTGAAACATGGTGAATGCTGGTGCACTGAAACTCCTCTTCCCCTGTCACTAATGGATTTCAGTCGATTCTCACTCGTAATGATGAATGTTCATCCTGTTATCATAATTATTTCCAGTGGTTTAGTCTACTGAATTCCTAAAGAGCCCATGTATTTTTCTCGCAGATTTCAGGGGCATATCTAGCTTTAGGTACATAGGTGCAAAGACTTGTCTCTCTAAATATAGTGATCATAAAGTACAAGGCAAAGGCGTATTAGATCCAGTGCCAGAGACCTGGGAAAATCTAAGTTTTTATCTTGATATTATTTAAGTCAATGGCAACACTCCAGGACCAGGTCTTAAGTGACCTGCTCCAGGCCAGCTCCAGGAACTGCATCAAAGTATGTGGAGCTGTAACTAGCCCCTTGACTTGACTGTGAAGGAGTTGCCATTCTGCTGCCCTTCCTAAATGACAAATCATCAGCTGCTAAATTGGTTCTAGGTGTTTCATTTCATTCTGTACATCTCTGGCATGAGAGGACTGTAATGGTTGTACTGCTGGCATGTGGAAGGGTGACATAATGGCACTTAACTGGGCCTGAAGAGTGGCTGTCATACAGATCTGTATGGGCACAATCAAAAACCTTTAAACACCAAACCTAGTTCAAGGCTCCAAGCATTTCCAGTATAGGAATAGGGATGTTAGGGTTGCAGTTTAATTTAAAGTAAAATTTACTTGAAAAAATCAGATTTGTTAAAAACATAAGCAGCTGGAATTGGCTTCTTGCAATGTAAAGTGTTTGATGTCTCTTACATGTTAACAGATCCACTCCAGTAGTTGTCAGAGAAAAGAGAGCTGCTGGCTAAGTCAGACCCCAAACATGTTTACTCAGTCAGCACAAAAGATCTGTTCCTTCTGTCTGAGGTAATTCTCCTGGTTCTCTCTCAAATGGTGTGACTGTTGGCAGCTCTCACTGCAGCTGAGGGCAGGTAAGATAGCATGAACCATGAGGCGTCTAGTCCAGATGGATGCTGAAGGAGATTCTGCTAGTCAGCTCCAGGGATGTTCATCAGCTGAGATCACGTGGGTGGCAGTGCTGTAGTAGATGAATTGTTTGTTTGATGCCAGAAGAAAACCTCCAAAGCCCAAACCATGTGAGGACCAGTTGCAGGGTGCTCATTCAGGTATGGCTGCAGTGAGACACGTATCCCATGATGGGTCAGACACTAAAAGGGAGAGAAGTCTCTTCTGTCACAGAGAACACCTACATGTGAGGGCTTAGGGTGAGGTGTGTAACGGCATAGCTTATTGCTGTCTTCTAACCTGGTGGCTTCTTTAATTTTTCAGCAACCGTAGTAGTCGTTTGTTGGAATTGTTTGTGTCTGTCAGCGGGATTGAATGTATTTTTGTATGCTCGTGCCTCTAATTTCTTTTATTTAGTTTAAGGAAACCTCAACAAAATGGGCTACCTTCACTGTTCATTCCCTGGCCTTGTCTGTGTCTCTGCTTATTCCCTTTAGAGTCTGTCTCCACAGGCTCTTGCTTCATGTAACATTTACATAACTCTGCTTAGCATCCCGGCCCGTGTATCTTCTGCCATTTAATGGGTCAGCTGAAGACACATTTCATGTTACACACTTGATTTCCTCAACTCCTTCCTGTTTGCTGCCCCTTGTTTCCCAGTCCTCTCAGAAATATTCACATTGTGCTGCTGTACTAAAGATGGGTTGGAGGCCTCCCACAGAGTCCCTGGCCCCCAACTCAGCTCCAGACTCACGGGACAGTTTCATGGGATAGAAGTTTTTGGAAGAGCTTTAGCAAATGCCACATTGCCCAAGCGTTTTCAAAAATGCGCCTTAGTTTAGTTGCCCTCATTACCCTTTTATGGGGGTTGTCACTGGAGCCCGTTCCTCTAGTGCAGAGAAAACGTAGTTTTGTGCTGCACCAGCACTG